TTGCGGGCGTGAGCCACCGCACCCCGCCCCTTTTGTGCTTTTTGAATTTTGTATGGTGTGCAGGTGTTTTGTGTTTCTGAATAAAAATTAAGTCATTTAAGCCAGTGTACTAAATGCTTTGTACTAAATGCGTGAGCCAGGCGTAGTGGCTCACGCCTATAATCCCAGCACTTTGGGAGGCCAAGGCGGGTGGATCACGAGGTCCAGAGATCGAGACCATCCTGGTCAACATGGTGAAACACCGTCTCTACTAAAAATACAAAAATTAGCTGGGCATGGTGGCGCACACCTGTAGTCCTAGCTACTCGGGAGGCTGAGGCAGGAGAATTGCTTGAACCCAGGAGGCGGAGGTTGCAGTGAGCCGAGATGGCGCCATTGGACTCCAGCCTGGGTAACAAGAGCGAAACTCCGTCTCAGAAAAAAAAAAAAAAACTCAGCAAGTCTGCTTTGTCTTAAGATCCGCATTTTATGGGAGGAGAAACCGAGGCCCAGAGAGTTTGGTTGACTTGCTAGCAAGGAGCAAGGTCAAGATTCAAAACCCAGGCAGCCTCTTCCCAGATCCTTCCTCTTGACTCCCTGGCTTTACTGTGACTGTGTTGTAGACCCCTGGCTGGGAGCCCTGCTAGTACTATCCCCACCACCCGACAGTCACCTTGGACTGTTAAGAGCATGAGGAATGGCCAGGCGTGGTGGCTCACGCCTGTAATCTCAGCACTTTGGGAGGCTGAGATGGGTGGATCACAAGGTCAGGAGTTCAAGACCAGCCTGGCCAAGATGATGAAACCCCATCTCTTTAAAAAAAAAGAAAAAAAGAGCATGAGGAATAAACCTTCCCTTTGACTTGGAAATCTGCTTCTGGGAATTGCTCCCCCAGAAACCTTGACCAAAGTGGACCAAGATATACTATTACAATTTTTTGGCATAAATAAATATTTATTTATTTATTTTGAGATGGAGTCTCACTCTGTTGCCCAGGCTGGAGGGCAGTGGCGCAATCTTGGCTCACTGAAACTCTGGCTCCTGAGTTCAAGTGCTTCTCTGCCTCAGCGGCCTGAGTACTTGGGATTACAGGCACGCACCACCACACCTGGCTAATTTTTGTATTTTCAGTAGAAAAGGGGTTTCCCCATGTGACCAGGCTGGACTTGACCTCCTGACCCCAGGTGATCTGCCTGCCTCAGCCTCCCAAAGTGCTGGGATTCCAGGTGTGAGCCATCCTGCCTGGGCTAACCCCAATATTTATGAGTTTACATGTCCTGAACACTTACCATGTACCATGTTTGCTTTACCTACAGTAAATTACACTTCCTGTAATTTACAGTACCTTAATCCTGAAATGCACTAGCAGTAGTTTCTCTGTTCCTCCCCATTTCACAGATGGGATAAAGGCTGGACTGGTCCTTTGCCTTCACCTCACAATCTCCCAAGTACTCCCTGAGGAGGATGGACTGACGGCTTTCTCTAACTCTAGGTTGTGGATTCCCATGCATTCATGAACATATTCTGTGCAGTATTTATGTGAACTCCTGATGAGAATTTAGAATGTTGTGTTTATATTGTTGTTGTTTTTAAGGGATTAGCGTTCTACCAGAAAAACACATGCATTCATATGTTCATCATAGCATTATTCAGAATAGCAAAGAAATGGAATCAACCTAGGTACCCACCAACAGTAGACTGGATAAAGAAAAGGTGGCACATATATACCATGGAATACTATGCAGCCATTAAAAAAGAAGAACCAAATCAGCAGGGCGTGGTGGCTCACACCTGTAACCCAGCACTTTGGGAGGCCAAGGCAGGCAAATCACAAGGTCAGGAGTTTGAGACCAGTCTGGTCAATAAGATGAAACTCCATCTCTTCCAAAAATATAAAAATTAGCCAAGTGTGGTAGCACAAACCTGTAATCCCAGCTACTTGGGAGGCTGAGGCACAAGAATTGCTTGAACTAGGAAGGGGGACGTTGCAGTGAGCCAAAATCATGCCATGCTCTCCAGCCTGGGCAACAGAGCGAGACTCCATCTCAAAAATAAATAAACAAATAAATAAATAACCATATCATGTCCTTTGCAGCAACGTGAATGCAGCTGGAGTCTGTCACCCTAACTGAATTAATGCAGAAACAAAACTAAATGCCCATGTACTCACTTATAACTGGGAGCACACAGACATAAAGACAGGAACAGTAGACACTAGGGACTCCAGAAGGAGAGAGTGAAGGAGGGAGGGGAGCAAGGCCTAAAAAACTTCCTATTGGGTACTGTGTTCACTATCTTTATGACAGGGTCAGTAGAAGCCTAATCCTCAGCATCACACAATATCCCTTTGTAATAAACCTGCACATTTACTCCCTGAACCTAAAATAAAAATTGAAAAAAAAGTAAAACAAATAAGGCTGAGTACAGTGGCTCACACCTGTAATCCCAGCACTCTGGGAGGCCAAGGTGGGAGAGTTGGTTGAGCTCAGGAGCTCAAGACCAGCCTGGGCAACATGGCAAAAACCTGCCTCTCCAAAATATACCTAAAAAAAAAAATTAGCCAAGCATGATGGCGAGGGCCTATAGTCCCAGCTACTCAGGAGGCAAGGTGGGAGAATCGCTTAAGCCTGGGAGGTGGAGGTTGCAGTGAGCTGTGATTGCACCACTACACTCCAGCCTGAGCAATAGAGTGAGAGACCCTGTCTCTAAATAAGTAAATAAATAATAAGGCCGGGCACAGTGGCTCACGCCTGTAATGCCAGCATTTTGGGAAGCAGAGGCAGGCGGACCACAAGGTCAGCAGTTTGAGACCAGCCTGGCCAACATGGTGGAAACCTGTGTCTACTGAAAATATAAAAATTAGCCAGGCATGGTGGCGGGCATCTGTAATTCCAGCTACTCGGGAGGCTGAGGCAGAAGAATCGCTTGAAACAGTTAAGGCAGAGGTTGCAGTGAGCTGAGATCACGCCACTGCACTCCAGCCTGGGCAACAAGAGTGAAACTCCTTCTCAAATAAATAAATAAATAAATAGAATCGATATGGTGACTCGTACCTGTAATCCCCGCACTTTGGGAGGCTGAGGCAGGTGGATCTTCTGAAATTAGGAGTTTAAGACCAGCCTGGCCAACATGGTGAAACCCGGTCTCTAATAAAAACACAAAAATTAGCCTGGTGTGGTGCCTCATGCCTGTAATCCTAGCTACTTGCAAACCTGAGGCACAAGAGTTGCTTGAACCTCGGAGGCAACAGTGAGCCGAGACTGCACCACTGCACTCTAGCCTGGGGGACAAAGTGCAACTCTGTCTCAAGAAAATTAAAAACAAAAACAAAAAATAAAAACAAAATAATATACATTGGTAAATATGGTAAGCAGACTGTAGGATCACCTAGACAGAACCTTCTAAAGAACACTGGCCTCAGCAAACATTTCTGTGTCTGCTCACAGCCCACCAGAGGCCACCTCAAATGACTGTTTAATTTCCAACAACTGGGAAGCACCATCTGGCTTTGGAATGTCCTGAAGCCACAGTGGAAACAGTCACCCATTGTCTGCCTCTGTGCTCATATTGAAATTTTTCCCCAAGATACAAAGCCAAATTTCTCTTTTGCATTGATGCTTCACAGAGGCATTTTCAAAGTATGAGACTTTAGCGTCTTATGTTATTTAATGAGTTGAAACTTAGAGCTGATATCTGTCAAGCCTCCATGTCCAAGCCTGGCCATTATAGCCTAGGTGACCCGCACATACACCTCTGGATGGTCCCCAGGAGCGAGAAAGTCTGAAGTAATCACAAGTAACCAGGTGGCCACAGAAAGAAGTGAAACAACTTGTTCCTGCCTCAACTGATTGCTCTCTCCCTTCAACCTGCAACCATTGTTCCTGCTCAGTCTTGCAAAAATTTCCCCCTGAACATTGGGTTTCTCAAGACCCCCACCCCTATAACTATGTAATTTACTACACCCTCCCCTCTGCTTGCAACCCATAACCTCCACCTTTATGATCATGCCTGTTTGTAATAAGTAACCCCTACCCTTGTGACCATGCATCCTGTGACACCCTTCCCCTCCCCAACGTCGATTACCACCTTTAACCATTTGCCCCAACCTATATAACCAGTCCCCTTTCCTACCCCTTTTGCCTAACTCCTTTTTCGGGCTTGGCCTGCCTGCACCTAAGCAGGAAATAAACAGCCTTGTTGCCCACACAAAGCCTGCCTGGTGATCTCTTTAAGAAAACAATGTACCTGACAAGAAGAAGACGATTTGGTGTGGGGGAGACATTGATGGCCCTGGGCTGGATTTGTGTCCACATATGGTGTACACGCAGTTAGACAGGTCTGTCAGTAAAATATTTTTTGGGAAGTCTAGTTTCTGGTGGTTACTTTTTTTTTTTAAGCAGAGTCTCCCTCAGCCACTTAGGGTGGTATAGTGGCACCATCTTGGCTCACTGCAACTTATGCCTCCCTGCTTCAAGCGATTCTCGTGCCTCAGCCTCCCAAGTAGCTGGGATTACAGGCACCTGCCATCGCGCCGGGCTGATTTTTGTATTTTTAGTAGAGACAGGATTTCGCCATGTTGGTCAGGCTGGTGTGAAACTCCTAACCTCAAGTGATCCACCCACGTTGGCCTCAGAAAGTGCTTGGATTACAGACGTGAGCCACCACTCCCAGCCTCTGGTGATCCCCCTTCCCCTCCTCCTCCTCCTCCTCCTTTCTTTCTTTTTCTCTCTTTGTTTTTGCACTTCTCCGTATTGTTCCAAGCGTTTTTGCAGTGATGATAGTCATCTTTACAGAAACAAAGTTGTGTGTATGTTTTTAAATCTTAGGGCTATTGAATCCATCAATAGCAAAGGGACCCCACACGTGTTCGGTTTGGCTGGCACGATGTTTTTTTAATGAGTGAATTGGATTCTTCCAGTTCTCCCCAGACCGCAGCACTTAACTCCAGTAGACTTCACTCTTCGGGCCTGGGAACCGGTTATTCAGCCCCGGGCAGCTTCTGTCCCGCCCTCGCCGTGGCTCCGCCCCCTTCTCGCCGGCCCGCCCCCTCTCCTCCCTCCGCCCGCCCATTTTCCATCTGTCGCAAGAGACACGGCGGCGCTTGACGGCCAGCGTCGTTTGACGGCTGGAGGCAACCGAGAAGAAGGAGGAAGCAGCGGTGGCAGCTGCCGCGGCGGCTGCAGCAGGGGCCGGGGTGGGCGCCGCGGTCCAGGCCGAGGAGTGAGGCGCGGGCGGCCGGGCCGGTGGGCTGGGCGGCGGGCCCGGCGGCCGCCCCCGCGCCCTTGCCCGCGCCTGGCGGCCCGATGTGGCTGCAGCAGCGGCTCAAGGGGCTGCCGGGACTGCTGTCGAGCAGCTGGGCCCGCCGCCTCCTCTGCCTGCTCGGCCTCCTGCTGCTGCTTCTGTGGTTTGGGGGATCGGGGGCGCGGCGGGCGGCGGGCGGCCTGCATCTGCTGCCCTGGTCCCGCGGCGAGCCGGGCGCCGCCGAGCCGTCTGCCTGTCTGGAGGCGGCCACCCGCGCCTGGAGCGGCCTGCGGGAGCGCGGCGAGGCGGTACCTCTGGGCTCTGGAGTGCCGGCCCTGGTGGCCAACGGCTTCCTGGCTCTGGACGTGGCTGCCAACCGACTGTGGGTGACCCCTGGGGATCGGGAGCCCGCCGTGGCGCCGGACTTTGTGCCCTTCGTGCAGCTGCGCCCGCTGAGCGCGCTGGCCGAAGCTGGAGAGGCGGTACTGCTGCTACGGGAGGGGCTGCTGCGCCGCGTGCGTTGCCTGCAGCTCGGGTCCCCAGGTCCCGGCCCCGTGGTCGCTGGCCCCGGGCCCGCCTCCGCCTCCGGCCTTGCGGCGGGGTCCTGCCGCGACTGCGTGCTGCTGCAAGAGGACTTTCTGGCGCATCGGGGCCGACCCCACGTCTATTTGCAGCGCATCCAGCTCAACAACCCCACGGAGCGCGTGGCCGCGCTGCAGACTGTGGGGCCTACTGCTGGCCCAGCCCCCAAGGCCTTCACCAGTACCTTGGAGAAGGTCGGAGACCATCAGTTCCTTCTCTACTCAGGCCGGTCCCCGCCTACGCCCACTGGGTTGGTGCACCTGGTGGTGGTGGCCGCCAAGAAGCTAGTGAACCGCCTCCAAGTGGCTCCCAAGACGCAGCTAGATGAGACGGTGCTGTGGGTGGTGCACGTCTCCGGCCCCATTAACCCCCAGGTGCTCAAAAGCAAAGCAGCCAAGGAGCTCAAGGCGCTGCAGGACTTGGCACGGAAGGAAATGCTGGAGCTTTTGGAGATGCCGGCGGCGGAGCCGCTTCAAGACCACCAGCTCCTCTGGGCTCAGCTCTTCAGCCCAGGTGAGTCCTGGCCAGCGCTTGGTCCACCCTAGATATGTCCCTCCATAGTCTGCAGAGGTGACAGTGAAGGTGATGGGTGGTTAAAACTTGGGCTTGGCGTTTCACCAGGGCTTGAATCTCTGCTCAACCGCTTATTGTCTGTGACCTTGAGACTCACCGCCTAGTCTCTGGGCCTGTATTTAATAATAATGCCTACCTAAGAGGGCTTTTATGAGACTAGTGGAAAATTGAGTCCAAAGGTCATGTCTTTCTGTTATTTGTTCTAGTAGGTGGGACCTGATTTGAGCAGAGTGGTACAGTCAGTTTGCAGAGGTGAAACCAGCAGGTGGATCCCTTGATTCCTTGCTCAGCACCACAGTCGGCCTGGTGACAGGTGTGGGCTTTTTGACATGACCCCTGCTGGGCTGAGGTGGGTCCTAGCAATTGTGGCTGTAACTTGTTCACAGGGAGGTTGGAGAACCCATTCTTTCAGCAGGTTTTAAATGCTCTTGCCTGATGAAAACTCTTCTCTTGTTGACTGTTAAAGAAAAGAAAATCCTGTTGTGGAGGAGAGGTGGGGAAGAAGACAGGCATTAGAACAATTAAAATTAAAATAAGACAGCTTTTTAGACTAGAATGTGCTGGCTGGGCGCAGTAGCTTACGCCTGTAATCTCAGCACTTTGGGAGGCTGAAGTGGGCGGATCACTTGAGCTCAGGATTTTGAGACCAGCCTGGCATCCAACATGGTGAAACTCCGTCTCTACTAAAAATACAAAAATTAGCCTGGTGTGGTGGTGCACACCCATAATTCCAGCTACTCGGGAGGCTGAGGCACGAGAATCGCTTGAACCTGGGAGGCGGAGGTTGTACCACTGCATTCCAGCCTGGGCAACAGACAGAGTGAGTCTCTGTCTCCAAAAAAATAAAAATAAAAAGAACATGCTAAGGAGAAAAGTTTAAAATATTGGACGGAGGGTGATTGGAGTGGGGGTAAGACTGTGGGGTGGCCAGTCCTTGCTTTAGCTCCACTTGTCAGGGAGGTCCCTGTGGGAAGGAAACACTTAAGCTGAGACCCGAATGGCAAGAAGCAGCCAGCCACAGAGGGTGTTTTAGGCTTGGAGACTGCAGGAGCCAAGGCAAGCAGGTTTGGTTGAGTAGCTGGTGTGGCTGGCAAGGGGAGGGTGGTGGGAGATGAGATTAGGCTGTCAAGGTGGCCATGGCCTTGCAGTCCTTGGTGAGGACAGTGAATTTTATTCTAGGTGGGAAGCAGGGCAGAGACATGATCTGATGTACATTTTTTAAAGATCCCCTGGCTGCTGTGTGCAGAGTATAGATGGTAGCGGACAAAAGTGGTTGCGTGGAAACCAGGTCAGAGGTTTTCGCAGGAGCCCAGGTGAGAGCAGAAGGGGGCTGGATCCAGGTTGTGATAGTAGCGGCAGAGAGCCAGGTGCGGTGGCTCACACCTGTAATTCCAGGACTTTGGGAGGCTAAGGCGGGCAGATCATGAGGTCAAGAGATCGAGACCATCCTGGCCATGGTGAAACCCTGTCTCTACTAAAAATACAAAATTAGCTGGGTATGGTGGCACATGCCTGTAGTACCAGCTACTTGGGATACTGAGGCAGGAGAATCTTTTGAACCTGGGAGGCAGAGGTTGCCGGGAGGCAAAGGTTGCCGTGAGCCAAAATCACGCCACTGTACTCCCTCCTGGTGACAGAGCAAGACTCTGCCTCAAAAAAAAAAAAAAAAAGCAGAGAAGTGGATGGACCCTGATGATTTGGGGGGCAGAGCTGCTGGGACTTCCTGTGGATTGGCTGTGGGGAGTGAGACCTTGAGGATGCCTTCTGAATGTGAGGAGCTTGAGCAGTGCTTGGAGATAACTTGGAAAGGGCTTGATTTGGGGCTGAAAGAGTTCAGACCACGTCAGGTGTCTACGGGGAGACAGCAAGCAGGCAGATAGCTGTTTGAGTCTAGAATTCATACAAATTTGGGGAGGAATCTGCATGATAGCTGATGGACATATGGATGACACCCAAATTCATACACATTTGGGAGGTGTCATTTAAAGCTACAGGACTAGGCCGGGGGTGGTGGCTCATGCCTATAATCCCAGCACTTTGGGAGGCCGAGGCAGGTGGATCGCCTGAGGTTAGGAGTTCAAGACCAGCCTGGCCGAGGTGGCAAAACCCTGTCTTTACTAAAAATACAAAAATTAGCCAGGTGTGGTGGCCTGCACCTGTAGTCACAGCTACTCAGGAGGCTGAGACAGGAGAATCGCTTGAACCTGGGAGGCAGAGTAAGCTGAGATTGTGCCACTGCACTCAAGCCTAGCTGACAGAGCGAGACTCTTGTCTAAAAAAAAAAATGAATAAATACATAGATACATAAATCTACAGGACTGGATAGAGAAAGGACAGACAGGAGAAGTGGCCTGAGAATGGCCACAGCACTGGTGACTGAGCTGGCACAGGAGGTCCAACCGTAGGGTTGGCACCAAACCCTGGCTAAGTCTGTGTTCCTCTGGGCTCTGGCACCAGGCCCCACTACTTTTTAACAGGATTCTAGATTTCAGGCCCACAGGCACAAGTTGGTTGTGTCAAGACAGGCTGACTTTCTCCCATACTTTAGGGAGACAGGCACCATTGTCTTTATCACTAAGGCACAACACCTCACTCCTCTGCTGCCCTTGGTTTTTATTTCATATGCTCTGCCTCCCAGCTATCCTTCCCCTTTAACGTGCAGTCTTCATGGTGTTGCAGGAGTGGAAATGAAGAAGATCACTGATACCCACACGCCGTCTGGCCTGACCGTGAACCTGACGCTTTACTACATGCTCTCCTGCTCTCCAGCCCCGCTGCTCAGCCCCTCCCTGAGCCACAGGGAGCGAGACCAGATGGAGTCGACGCTCAACTATGAAGATCACTGCTTCAGCGGCCATGCCACCATGCACGCCGAGAACCTGTGGCCAGGGCAGCTGTCCTCCGTCCAGCAGATCCTGCAGCTCTCTGACCTGTGGAGGCTGACCCTCCAGAAGCGAGGCTGCAAGGGTCTGGTGAAGGTGGGCGCCCCAGGCATCCTGCAGGGCATGGTGCTCAGCTTCGGGGGGCTGCAGTTCACGGAGAACCACCTCCAATTCCAGGCTGACCCTGACGTGCTGCACAATAGCTATGCATTGCACGGCATCCGCTACAAGAATGACCACATCAACCTGGCCGTGCTGGCGGACGCCGGGGGCAAGCCCTACCTTCACGTGTCTGTGGAGTCCCGCGGCCAGCCTGTCAAGATCTACGCCTGTGAGGCGGGCTGCCTGGATGACCCGGTGGAGCTGACCTCTGCGCCTTCGGGCCACACCTTCTCGGTCATGGTGACACAGCCCATCACACCGCTGCTGTACATCTCCACCGACCTCACACACCTGCAGGACCTGCGGCACACGCTGCACCTCAAGGCCATCCTGGCCCACGATGAGCACATGGCCCAGCAGGACCCCGGGCTGCCCTTCCTCTTCTGGTTCAGCGTGGCCTCCCTCATCACCCTCTTCCACCTCTTCCTCTTCAAGCTCATCTACAACGAGTACTGTGGGCCTGGAGCCAAGCCCTTCTTCAGGAGTAAGGTAGGAAGCCGCCGTCTGGTTGAAACCCGAGGCCTCGGCCTTGCTCTCAGCCCTATGTCTCGGGAGGGGCTGGCCTGGCGAGGGGGGGTGAGGCCTGGGCAGGAATGGGTGTCCTGATGCCCTCAGCCCTTGACACCAGAGAGAAAGAGAGTGCAAGTGTTTTGAGAGGAGACGACAAGGAAGGGAAAGCTGTGGAAATCCAGGTGTGAACTGATGGTCCTCTGACTTCCCAGGGCATCTCTCCCCTTCTCCTCCCCTGTCATAATCTCAGCGTTTAAAAAATAACTACAAGCTAGGTGTGGTGGCTCATGCCTGTAGTCCCAGCTACTTGGGAGGCTGAGACAGGAGGATCCCTTGAGCCCAGGAGTTTGAGGCTGCAGTGAACTATGATTGCACTGCTACACCCTAGTTTGGGCAGCAGAGCAAGACCCTGTCTCAAAACAGAAAAAAAAAAAAAGAAAAAAAAATTAGAGGCAGGGCCTGGTGGCTCATGCCAGTAATCTCAGCACTTTGGGAGGCCAAGGTGGGAGGATCTTTTGAGCCCAGGAGTTTGAGACCAGCCTGGGCAGGATAACAAGGGGCCTTGTCTCTACAAAAAAAATTTAAAAATTAGCCAGGTATGGTGGTGCACACTTGTAGTCCTAGTTACTCAGGAGGCTGAGGTAGGAGGATCACTTGAGCCCACAAATCTGAGGCTGCAGTGAGCTGTGATTACACCATTGAACTCCATCTCAGGTGACAGAGGAAGACCCTGTCTAAAAAATAATAATAATGAAGCTGGCCGCACAGATTAAATACTTTGGGAGGCTGAGGTGGATAGAGCACCTGAGGTCAGGAGTTCAAGACCAGCTTGGCCACTGTGTATTTTTAGTACATGGTGAAACCCCATCTGTACTAAAGATACAAAAATTAGCCGAGCTTGGTGGTGCACACCTGTAATTCCAGTTACTCAGCAGGCTGAGGCAGGAGAATTGCTTGAACCCAGGAGGCAGAGGTTGCAGTGAGCCGAGATCATGCTAGTGTACTCCAGCCTTGGTGACAGAGTGAGACTCTGTCTCAAAAAACAAATAAAATGCTATGATAATAAAAATGACTGCACTGAGCCCCTAGGTTGACTTGAGGCCTCTGTCTAAACTGCTGGCGAGAACCCAGCTTCCCCCCAGTGCCTGTTCATGGCGTGCAGAGGTCAGTCCCTCGCTCTGGGCCTTGGGCTGGAGTGGCCATCTTGTTAGCACAGGACACAGGACAGAAGCATTCCCCTCCAGTTTCCTGAGACATCTTCGCTCCTGGAAGCTGCGATTTTGGCCATCATTGCTGCATCTTGGGATCAGCATTCCTGTTGCAGGGTGAGGCTGCCTACTGTGCCCTGCCACCTGGCCTTCTGTGCTTTCTCTGGAGAAAGACCAGCAGGGATTCTAGGGGGAGGCCTTTGCTAGCAGTTGTAGAAGATGATGTTTCCCAAAGAGCTGAGCTCTCTCCCCTTCCCTTCTCTTCTCTCCTCCCTCATCCCCCTGCCCTCTCCCCGCTCCTCTTTCTCCCTTCCCCTCCCTTCTCTTCTTCTCTCTTCTCATCTTCTCTTGTTAAACTGTAGTGACAGTAGAGAGGTATATTAGGCTCTGCATCTGTGCTCCCAAGTAGTCAAAGAGCTCAGATTCCACCCTGGAGAAATGGGAAGTGCCCCATCACATCCACAGGGATGCCTTCGGCTTCTAGTTTCTGGCCCAAGACCAGGACTTGGAAAAGGAAGCAGAACTTGACCCGAAAGAGCAGAAGAGTGGGAGACAGGTCTGAGTTCCTCAAGTTTGAAGAACATATCAAAAGTCAGATCAAAAAGGACCATGCAGAGGCCTTCCTTGGGAGCTACCTCTGAACTAGCTGCACTAGGACAGGCGCCAAATGTGCATCGCGTAGGTTTTGCCGTCTGTTTGGCAGGCGGCTGCTTTTCCCTGCTGCTTGGTGGCTTCTCTGCCCTCGCTCTTGAGCACACCTTCGGTTCCCCCCACAGTTGGGGAGATGAGCCAGACAACCTTCATGGGGTACTGACCAGTCTCTCCTCGATGCAGGCTCAAGCTGGGCCATGCCAGAGCAGAGCCAGTGAACACTCCATGCCAGCTCCAGAAGGGCCCAGGCCACTGAGTGTGTGGTACTTCTGCCCAGCTGGGTCAGAGCCAGGGTGTGATGCCACTGGGGTTGTCTCCATAGCCTATTTCTGTAGCTGGCCACAGGGGTTGGCAGTGAACAATAATCACACTTGTTTTGTGAATTGAACAGGAAGATCCCAGTGTCTGAGTGAACTAACAGTCCTGCTTTCAGCCACCATTTGCACAAGACACCCAGCACTGAAAGTCCTGCTGCTAGGAGCAAGGGATCCTTTGGAAGCACCCACCCTTTGTGCCTTGTTGGGGGAAACCAGTGACGCAGAAGCGAGTGTGGATACATCAGAGTTTGCACTGGAAGGAACGAGTGTTATGTCGGGAGGGAAGGGGCCAGTGGACTTTTTGTAAGCTTTCCACTCAATAAAATGAAACTGTATGGCAAATACTTGAAATTGAACTCACTCCTTCCACTTTCCCCCTTTCTTCTGTCCCAGGAAATAGACCGTCTTTTGAAAAGACTCTTGTCTAGGAAAAGTTGTGTCCTTTTCCTAATTTAACGTGTTTTTTCTTGATGAATTTTTAATTTATTTTTGTTGGGATTTTACTGGATGGCTTTTGCATCCACTGTAGATGGTGAGTGTTGGCGGCGATGTCCTATCTCAGCGTTCGGAGGCCCCGAGGTCCCAGGGCCTCCCAGGGTGGCTGCGCTGCCTGTGGGAGGGGCGGGTGGCAGTGTCATCTTGGGATTGCACGCCCTTTCTTATGAGCCTGTGGACATCTGTGGTTTTGTACTTTGGGGCTTTGGGGGAGGTGTTTAACTTTCTAGTGATTGATGATTGTCAGACTTTGAAATACCAAAGCTTTTTTGTTCTGTTTTTAAATAAATATCTTTCAAACTTCCATGACCGGTTTGTGTGTGGTTAAAACCTCTGAAGATATGCATCATGTCTTCTCTCAGCACTAGATCTGTAGATAACATCAGAAGCAGGACACCCACCCTGCCCCGCTGTCAAAACGCTCATTCCTTCCCTGTATCTTCTACCTCTCTTCAAAGGAGTCTGCCCTGAAGGTGCATTGGCGGCCACCTTTCTGCTCGCCGGGGGTTGCTGAGTGGCCCTGCCAAGTGGGTTGCTTCTGGCATTACCCTGGCTCCTTCCCTGCTAAACTGTCCTATCCCCCACCTGCCCTAAAGAGCCTGGGTTCTCCTGCCCTGGGTTTTGCTGGCTATAGGACATCAGCAAGACAAACCCCAGGTGGTCCTTCTACAGGTTGTCTGCTGAAGCCACCATCAGATGCCTCCCCTCTTCGGGAAAGAGAAGGGAACTGTCAACTCCGGGGACCAAAAAGGGGCTGAGCCGGGCGTGGCAGTCCACCTTCAGGGCTGTCCCCAGCGTCCTGGCTTTTAGACTGTTCTCTGTTCCCAGACAGCATTTTAAGTGGCATGACTCACCGGGAAGCTTGGTCTGTCTGTGAAGGAGCCAAATGTCTGGCCCACAGCTGATGCTTATGAGAGTAAACGGGTCAGGCTCTGCTCTTAGTAGCCCTGGTTCCCCAGTTGCTTCTGTCCACGCAGCACCTTCTGCCCCAGCTCGAGCAGAGCTCTGACATGTGATCTTCCAGCCATAGGCCCTGGGCTGGCTCACCTGTTACAGAGTGGGAGCCTCCTGGAATGCAACTGGTGTCATTTACAGTGTGACATTAAACTGAAAGCTGTTAGACCACAAGAGCCGCAGTTCCCATTCCTTCTTTTTGAACTTGGAACTGGGCATGTTGTAGACTCCCATAAATGTAAAACAAATCTATGTATGTGGTACCTGAGAAATACCTATTGAATGATTACAATGTCAATAAATTGAGGTTTGTAAAGTATAGTTCTCATTTAAGTGCTCAACATACATGCTGGATATTTTACATCAACACAGCCTTTTGTGGGGAAGAGGTTGCTACGGGTTAAGATCCCAATTTGAGAGATGTGGAACCTGGACCCCACACAGTGAATCATTTGTCTGAGGCCACTTGACTATCAAGTGACTGGAACGCAAACCCTGCCTCGATGCCGGTGCAGGCTTGCTCGGAGTCCCCACACAGTTCCATTTCTCCCCATGGCATGCATCTGAAGGCTTCTGTGGCATGGCTCAGTGTCTGCAGAGCTTCCAGTTGGCCACCGTGGTAGAGAGGAGATGCTGGCGGTCTGCAGTGGAGTGAGCCAGGCACCTATCCTGGGGGGTCCCATCTGCATGGTCCAGTGGAGGCTGGCTGCACAAAGAGCCTTTTTCAGGTTGCTTTTTCAGGGCCTGAAATCTGGTGTGAAAAATTTAATTGCATGCTATCTGAAACTTCCAACAGCCCAAACATTGGTTCAGAAATGTGTTCACTCCATGAAAATCTCCCTGCACCCCATATCTCTGCCCCATCTCACATCCTTGCAGTCACCTTTTTTTTTTTTTGAGATGGAGTCTCGTTCTGTTGCCCAGGCTGGGGTGCAGTAGGGCAATCTCAGCTCACTGCAATCTCTTCCTCCCAGGTTCAAGCGATTCTCCTGCCTCACTCAGCTTCCCAAGCAGCTGGGATTACAGGCGTGAGAGATGCCACCACACCCGGCTAATTTTTGTATTTTTGGAAGAGACGGGGTTTTACCATGCTGGCCAGGCTGGTCTGGAACTCCACATCTCAGGTGATCTGCCTGCCTATGCCTCCCAAAGTGCTGGGATTACAGGTGTGAGCCACCGTGCCCAGCCTCTCTCAGCTACCTTGACTCCTGCCATTTGGGCAGCAGCCAGCTCTGCATAAGTGTGAGTGTCCTGGCAGCACCAGTGTCAGCCACTCTCTCTGTCATCTTTTGGAAGCTGTCAGGCACTTGGGCATATGTCACCTTGAAGCATGTGAATGGTAACACTGCTTGGGGTCATCCTTCAAATTGTTCACCCGTGAACAATTCTGAGGCACATTTTATTCTGCTGCTCAGAAGATACTACAGCTTGGATATGGTTTGTTGAAATGTGGTCCTCAGTGTGGCAGTGTTGGAAGATTGGGCTTTGTGGGAGGTGTTCGGGTCAGGAGGGTGGATCTCTCCTGAATGGCCTGGTCCCCTCTCAGGAGTGAGTTGAGTTCTTCCTCTTGTGGGAATGGATTAGTTCCCAAGAGAGCAGGTTGTTATAAAACCAGGAAGCCCCTCGGGTTTTGCCTCTTCACTCGTGTCTGCTCCCCTTCAACCTTCTTCACCATGCTATGAGGCCACAAAGAAGTCGGGCAGATGCTGGTACCATGCCTTCGAACTTCTCGGTCCACAGAACCGTGAGCTAAATAAACTTCTTTTCTTTATAAATTACCCAGCCCCAGGTATTCTGTTACAGTAACATGCCATGAACTAAAGCAGAAGGTCCCCATAGCATCCAGCCCCAGGTAGGAGACCCAGGCTAAGACACTACCCAAGAGGCCTATGGCTCCTCTGGAGGCCTTCTCCAGGAGGAAGTGGGATTCTCCGTGGGCATTGACATGGGCTGAATTGTGTCCCCTTCTCAAATTTCTTTTTTTTTTTATTTTGAGACGGAGCCTCTGTTGCCCAGGCTGGAGTGCAGTGGCACGATCTCAGCTTACTACAAACTCTGCCTCCCGGGTTCAAGCAATTCTACTGCCTCAGTCTCCTGAGTAGCTGGGATTACAGGCATGTGCCACCATACCTGGCAAATTTTTATATTTTTAGTACAGATAGGGTTTCATCATGTTGGTCAGCCTGGTCTCGAACTCCTGATTTCGTGATCCACCTGCCTCAGTCTCCCAAAGTGCTGGAATTACAGGCGTGAGCTACTGCACCTGGCCCATCCTCAAATGTCTTTTTCTTTTCTTTTCTTTTTTGTTTTTTTTGAGATGGGGTTTCGCTCTGGTTACCCAGGCTGGAGTGCAATGGCATGATCTCAGCTCACTGCAACCTCGGCCTCCTGGGTTCAGGCAATTCTCCTGTCTCAGCCTCCTGAGTAGCTGGGGTTACAGGCACGAGCCACCATGCCCAGCTAATTTTTTGTATTTTTTTAGTAGAGACGGGGTTTCACCTTGTTGACCAGGATGGTCTCGATCTCTTGACCCCGTGATCCACCTGCCTCGGCCTCCCAAAGTGCTGGGATTACAGGTATGAGCCACCGCACCCAGCCCGTCCTCATATTTCTATGTTGAAATTCTTTTTTTGGGACAGGGTCTCACTCTGTCACCCAGGCTGGAATGCAGTGATGTGAACATGGCTCACTGCAGCGTCTACCTCCTGGGCTCAGGAAATCCTGATCTGGGACTACAGGTGTGCACTATACACCTGGCCAGTTTTTGTGATTTTTGTAGAGATGGGGTTTTGCCAAGTTGCCCAGGCTGGTTTCAAACTCCTGAGCTCAAGTGATCCACCTGCCTCAGTCTCCCAGAGTGCTGGGATTACAGGTGTGAGCCACCATGCCCTGCCCCTGTGTTGATGTCCTAACTTCTAATCTAATAGAATCAGGAGGTGGGGCTTTTGGGGGGTTCTTAGGTCATGAGGGTAGAGCCCTCATGAATGGGATTAGTGCCCTTCTAAGGGAGACCCCAGAGAGCTGCCTCACCCTCTTTCTGCCATGTGAGAATGCAATGAGAAGACAGCAGTCTGCAACTGGCAAGAGGGGCCCCACTAGAACCCAACCATGCTGGCACCCTGATTTCAGACTTCAGCCTCCAGAACTGTGAGAAATCAATTTCTGCTGTTTTGAAGTTGCCCGGTCTATGGTATATTGTTAGAGCAGCCAGAACTGACTAAGACGGGCATATTCTTCTTAGAGGAGAAATGGAACTTTCTCCAGGTGATAACAAACCAAGAATACAGAGAGTCATAGGACCATGGATAAGGCTTTTTTTTTTTTGAGACAAGGTCTCGCTCTGTCACCCAGGCTGGAGTGCAGTGGTGCAATCACAGCTCACTGCAGCCTCAACCTCATGGGCTCAAGAATCCTCCCTCCTCAGCCTCCTGAGTAGTTGGGACTATACGCACATGCTACCACGCCTGTTTAACTTTTTTGTGTGTATTTTGTAGAGACGAGGTTTCACCAGGCTGGTCTCAAACTCCTGAGCTCAAGCAAGCCACCCACCTCAGCCTCCCACAGTGCCGGGATTACAGGCGTGAGCTACTGTGCCCGGCCAAATAAATCTTAGGCTATTTCTGGTGCAGGAGTAACCAGCTTCTGGCCGGGCACAGTGGCTCACACCTATAATCCCAGCACTTTGGTAGACTGAGGCAGGAGGACCAGTGGTATAGTGAGGCCTTGTCGCTACAGAAAATTTTATAAATTAGTTGAGCATGGTGGTGGTGTGCACCTGTGATTCCAGTTACTTGGGAGGCTAAGGTGGGAGGATCACTTAAGCCCAGGAGGCAGAGGTTGCAGTGAGCCAAGATTGTACCACTGTACTCCGCTATGTGACAGAGTGAGACCCTATTTCAAAAAAAAACCAAAAAACCAAAACCCCACAAAACTAAAAACTGGTTAAACAAAAGGAAGAGTATTGGTTCACATAACAGTGTAGCTTAGTTGGAGCTTCAGGAACGGTTTGATCCAGGACTAAGTGACTTAGGGATGTATTAATATCTCTTAGCTCTGTTTCCCATTGATCAGCTTCCATATTCAGTCTGGCCACCCTTATGGTAACAAAAATGGCCGCAGTTATCACAAGCTTGATGCCCTCCTAGCATTAAACCCAGTGGAATCCAAGTCCTGGTGTTCCTACCCAAAAAGCCAAGACACCTCTGCACAGCACAGCCCTGAGTCAATCACTGTGGCCAGGGCAAAGGGGATATGCTAATTAGGGTAGGCTGATCAGGCCATCTCAGAGCTGCGGTAGTGTCAGCCTCCAACCACTGAGCAGACACTAATGGGAGAGGAGCAGCTTCCCAGAGGAACTTGTGGGTACTGTTATCACAGATGAGGGAGAACAGGTGCTTGGCAGCACAGTACAGACCTCCAGGATTCCTGCAAGGTGAGTGTCAGTCCTGTTTTCCAGATGGGGAAAGTGAGGCTCCCAGATGACAAGTCATTAAGCCAAAGTCATAATCTGTGGAGTCAGGGAGGCATCCCCAGTTCTGTCCAGCTCCAAAACTAGATGCTTCCACTATTAGCCCAAGTGATGGCAGACACATTTGGAAATAGCCACCTGCCTATGTTTCCAGAAGCAGCATCAATGCCTGCCAGGCTGGGATGTTTTTCCTTTTCATCCGAAGAATCTCTGGGCAAGGCAGGCTTGAGAAGCCTCTGAAGGACAGGGGTGACATTGGTGGATTGGCACTTACTTCCAGGCTCATTAACCTGGTGTGGGGAGCTCAGCCCTGGCGTGAGACCGCATCCTCTCTAAGACTTTTTTTTTTGTTTTTTTTTTTGATACGGAGTCTCATTCTGTTGCCCAGGCTCGAGTACAGTGGTGCGATCTTGGCTCACTGCAACTTCTGCCTCCCAGGTTCAAGTGATTCTCCTGCCTCAGCCTCCCAAGTAGCTGGGACTACAAGTGGGCACCACCATGCCCGTCTAATTTTTGTATTTTTTGGTAGAGATGGGGTTTCACTATATCGGCCAGACTGGAGGAATCTTTTTTGACTAGAACACAAAGGGGAACAACATAGCCATACCTCAGCGAATGCAGCCTGCAGGAGAGACAGAGACGAGAAAAAATGATGATACTGCAGTCAGGGTGTGGGACTATGGAGCTGGGTCATCTAACCTCCCCTTGAAAGTCAGAGAGGGCTTCCTGGAGGAAGGTGAAGCTTCCAATTTGGAACCTGAAGGATGATGGGAGTCAGCCAAGCTAAGCAGTGGAGAGCCTGAGTGAATGAATGCACAGAGGTGGGTGGGTGTAAGGAAGCCAGGGAGCCTTTATTTTGAGATAGAGTCTTTCTCTGTTTTCCAGGCTGGAGTGTAGCGGTGCAATCATGGCTCACTGCAGCCTCAACCTGTTGGGCTCAAGTGATCCTCCCACCTCAGCCTCCTGAGTAGCTGAGACCACAAGTGCATGCCACCACACCCAGCTAATTTTTTAAAATGTTCTGTAGAGACGGGGCCTCACCATGTTGCCCAGGCTGGCCTCAAACTCCTGGGCTCAAGCGATCTTCCTGCCTCAGCCTCCCAAAGTGTTGGATTACAAGTGTGAGCTACTGTGCCCAGCCAATAATTGGGTTTTTTTGCCCACATCACTGACCTCGTAGGACAAACGGTAGGCTCTGACCTTGATTCATGGCAACAATGACATTAGAGATCATCATTCCTCCTATAGACGTATCCCTTCTTCTCCCTGATTACTGTCATAATTTTAGCCAATCTACAGCTTTCCTGAAAACCAAAGAACGATTTGTCACCATGTTTTACAAAGTACAAACTGAGCCCCAGTGAAAGAGTTGCTTGCTAAAGGTCAAAGAGAGGTCACTCATGGAAATCATTACCTCTGCTAACACCTTGTGATTAATATGAAGTGTCAACTTGGCCGAGCGCAGAGGATCACGCCTGTAATCCTAGCACTTTGGGATGCCAAGGCAGGTGGATCACCTGAGATGAGGAGTTTGAGACCAACCTGGCCAACATGGTGAAACCTCGTCTCTACTAAAAATACAAAAAATTAGCCAGGCATGGTGGCGGATACCTGTAATCCCAGCTACTTGGGAGGCTGAGGCAGGAGAATCACTTGTACCTAGGAGACCGAGGTTGCAGGGAGCTAAGATCATGCCATTGCACTCCAGCCTGGGCAACAAGAGTGAAACTCCATCTCAGAAAAAAAAAAAAGTGTCACCTTGATTGCTTTGAAGGGTACAAAGTATTGTTTCGGGGTGTTTCTGGGTGTTGCCAGAAGAGTTTAACATTTGAGTCAGTGGACAGGGACCGGAAGAACCCCTGCAATCGGCTGCCAGCACAGCTGGAAAAAGGCAGAAGATGGACTCCAAGTTCTTCGGCTTTTGGACTCTTGGGCTTACACCAGTGGTTTGCTGGGGGCTCTCAGGCCTTGGCCACAGACTGCAGGCTGCACTGGCGGCTTCCCTACCTTTGAGGGTTTGGGACTTGGGCTGAGCACCACTGGCTTCCTTACTCCTCAACTTGCAGATGGCCTATATAATGGGACTTCCCCTTGTGATTGTGTGTCAGTTCTCCCTAATAAACTTCCTTTCACATACACGTAGACCTCATTAGTCTGTCCCTCTAGAGAACCCTGACTAACACACACACACGGAGGGGAGCACTGAAAACCTGGGCCAGGGATCAGCGTGACTGCTCCGTGGCTGTCCCGGGAGACGGCGGCATGGGGCAGGCGAGCTCTTGAGAAAGGCTGGGGCTTCTTTCAGAATAAAAGCTTGGAAAGAGGCAACTACACGGCATTCCCGGGGCCGGGCGCAGTGGCACACGCCTGTAATCCCAGTTACCTGGGAGGCTGAGGCAGGAGAATAGCTTGAACCTGGAAGGCGGAGGTTGCAGTGAGCCAAGGTCGCGCCACTGCACTCCAGCCTGGGAGATAAGAGCGAGACTTCACCACAAAACAAACAAAACCTTTTTCTTGTTATGTAGCCCATAAATACATACACATACTATGTGCCCACAAACATTAAAAATCCAACATTTAAGACAAAACAAAAACAACAGAAAACCTTTTTCTGAGGAGTCCCTAGGCTTCACCAGTTGGCCAAAACTGGAGCTTGAGTGCTGAGACTTTATTGAGTGCATACCCACAATGCATTGCAACAAAATAATTTTCGTCTTTAAAATTACTTTCCCCTTTTTCCTTTAACCTATCTTTCCTGAAACCGAGATTACTATTCCAGAATTGACTGAATAAAAGGAAATCGTATGAAGAAAAGGCGAAGTCAGTATCTCTTCTGGACGGAAAGAAAGTTACCATTACCCAGTTAGGAGTAGCAATTATCTGAGAACTGAGTGCTGACTTCTTAACATGCGAGTTAGCTTCAAATCACAAAGACTTTTCGGTTTTTATTAACGATTGTCGTGGAACAAGATGAGCATGAGTGTAATGTTTTTGAAGCCTTCATTTGGAGTAGGGCTTACTTCAGTGTTTTTAAACTAGGCGCGCTGAAAGAGTCGTCACTGAGGGTGAAAAACGGAATAAGTACACAAAACGCCGAGTTCTCAGACCCTTGAAAATGTTTATCTGTAGCGTTTAGTACCTGAGCCGGCGGGTTCTTGGGGCCTTGGAGGAAAGAAGGAAAATTACCGTCCGATGGGCTTGAATGTCAAGGTTTGGAGCCAGTGGAACAGGTATGGACTGTGGGCAATTGCCTCAGGAGCTGAGCCTCGGGTCAGGATTTTTTTGTTTTGCTTTTTTGAGACAGAGTGTCGCTCTGGAGTGCAGTGGCGCCATCTCGGCTCACTGCAACCTCCGTTTTCCTGGTCCAAACGATTCTCTGCGTCAGTCTCCCAAGTAGCTGGGATTATTACAAGCGTGAAGCCAGGCTAATTATTGTATTTTTAGTAGAGACGGTGTTTCACCATATTGGCCCGGCTGGTCTCGAGCTACTGACCTCAGGTGATCCAACCGCCTCGGCTTCCCAAAGTGCTGGGGTTACAGGCGTGAGCCACCAAGCCCGGCCTTGGGTCAGAATATTTTGTGACGGATTTCCTCCCTCCTTTACCGGGGCAGAGACCCTGCTAGTTTTCCTGTCCCGTGCTCAACCTCTCTCTCCTAGAATCTCACAGCATTAGCGGGGCTCACAGCTACCTGAAGGCATGACTACATTTCCCAGTCTCCCTTGCGGTCGAGACCTAGCCCTCTGGAAAGAGTGATTGGAAAATTCACTGCGTCTTGAGTTTAACCAACGGTTGGGTCTGGGGAGGACGAGCTGCGCTCCTGGCACCACTCCACCAGGTGAGGATACTAGGTGGGCAGAAGCGCCCTCAGGGCAGCCTTCTTCGATTCTACACGGAGAAGCCTGCAGAAGCAGCGGGGAGCTCACCCCGAGTCCCTGGTTTGTTTGTCCAGCTGTCCCCAACCTTTCTAGCACAAGGGACCCAGTTCGTGGAAAATTTTTCCAAGGGTGGGGGAAGGTTGGTGGAGGATGTGGACTATTTCAGGCTAAAACTGTCCACCTCAAATCAGCAGGCATTTTCATAAGGAGCGCGCGCCTAGATCTCTCGCATGCGCAGTTCGCAATAGGGAAAATCCGATACCTAGACGACCTGACAGGAGGTAGAACTCTGGCAGTACCGTGGATCAGAAATTGCAGGCTGGCAAATCCCGGTGCATAACTAACCAACCAACCAGATCAATTACGTGAAAAAACATAATAGCCACTGCAACATATAGTAGTAGAAGCGGCTACAAAAACCAATACGAATAGTTAATTAACACCAATAAACAAAATTAAATCTACTTTTAGACGACTAAAAATAAGCCTTGCAGTAAAGCAAGACCTCAAAAAATTAGTTTAAAACTCAGAGTTGTTCCTCTCCACGGAAATCTTTAGTAAAAGGCGAAAGATTTATACGATCTGAAGAGAAACCAGAGTATGACTTCAAGTCGTCGGCCCTCAGTTCTCGGGTAACGGCTACTCCTAATAGGCTAATGGTAATATTCTTTCCGTCCAAAAGAGATATTGCCTTCTGCCTTTTTCTTCAGACAATTCTGAAACAGCAATCTCGGGTTTCAGGAAACGTAGGTTAAAGGAAAGAGGGGAAAGTAATTTTAAAGACAAAAATTATTTTGTGTGCAATGTATTGTGGGTATGCAAATAAAGCCTCAGCAGCCACGCTTCAGTTTCCGGAAATACCTTAAATGGTTCATGCATTATAGCGCTGCGCCTGAGGCCACCACCGGGGGGCAGAGCGGAGCTTGGTTCTAGAAGAAAAGGTGACGTTATCTGCTGTATTTATAGTGGGCGAGCTATTAGGTCGGTGCAAAAGTAATTGCGGTTTTTTGCAATTTAATTGCAAAATTAACCTAATAAGTAAACAATTCTTTTGAACTTAAAAAAAAAAAAAGTTAAAAAGAAAATTATCTTGGCTGGATTCTGGCTCACCCTTGTAATCCCAGCACTTTGGGAGGCTGAGGTGGGCTGATCACCTGAACCAAGGGGTTTGAGACCAGTCTGGACAACATACCAAAATCCTGCCTAGAAAAAAAAAATTATTGCACTTCTAGCCACTCCAGACTTACTGAAGCTCTGGGGATTGGGCCCAGCCACACTGGCTCTGAACTCATTCTCCACGTGATTCCGATGGAGGCTACACTGAGAACCTCTGTTGGGGGAATTGTTCTGGTTGAAATACGGAGAGCTAAAAGTTTGGGAGACACATTAATGGCTGAGCAGGGAAAGGCCTGGGAAAGGCTGTGGTGTGAGGAGACAAAAGGCCAGGGGAGGCCCCTGGGGGATGGTGGCATAAAAGGAGGGGCAGTACAGGAGCCTGTGAAAGAGGTTAGGGAAATTTAGGGAGGCAGGAGGAAAATCTGTTCTGGGGACCAAACAGAAAAGGGCAGAGAAGTTTCCTGGCCGAGGGTGGTGGCTCACGCCTGTAATCCCATCACTTTGGGAGAGGAAAGAAACAGTAGGCGGGGAGCTGAAGGAGACGGGGAGGGAGCAGGAGGGGCAGGAGATGGGAGGGGCGGTAGCTGGCTCCGTGGTTGCAGAAGGGAAGGGGGAGCAGTGCAGGTGCCTCCCTGCAGTGATGTGGTCCTTGGAGCCCAGGAACACCCTCCCCCCCACCCCATTCTCTCACTCCCCTGCAGCCCCTCCTTTGCTGGCCACTCTTTCCCTCCGTCTTCTCACCTGGGAAGAACCCAGGCCCCTGACTTTCCAGCCTCTGCCCTGTAGCAGCTGGACTGCTGGAAAAATCCCACAGCAAGGGAACCTCCGGCACACACCTCCACTTCACCTGTTTCTCTGACTGGCTCTATATCCCCCCCCCTCAAGATGTCCCTTCTGGGCTGAGCATGGTGTCTCGGTCCCGTAATCCTAGCACTTTTCGAGGCTGAGGCAGGCAGATCACCTGAGGTCAGGAGTTTGAGACCAGCCTGGACAACATGGCAAAACCCCGTCTCTACTAAAAATACAAAAATTAGCTGGGCATGGTGGTGTGTGGTGGTGGGTGTCTGTAATCCCAGCTACTCAGGAGGCTGAGGCATGAGAATTACTTGAACCCGGGAGGCAGAGGTTGTAGTGAGCAAGATTGTGCCATTGCACTCCAGCCTGGGCGACAAGAGCAAAACTCGGTCTCAAAACAAAAAAACACAAACAACTTCTTTTAACCCTTCTCTCTCTCCCCAGCTTCCTCCTCTGCAACTCACTGTCAGTCCATGGCATCCCAGGGGCTTCCTTGAGAAACCACACCCTCATCTTCCCTGCCCAGCTCTGCCTCCTCCCATGAGCAGCCCTCTTCTTAGACTTTGGAACCCCAACTCCACAAAGCAGCACCCTCCATGTCCCTTCCACCGTAGTCTGAATGTTGTGGCCCCTCATACATCCACAGCCTGGAATTTAAGCTACAAGGTGATGGTATTGATAGGTGGGGTGTCTGGGAGGTGATTGGGTCAAGGATGGGATCAGTGTCCTTATGAAAGGGTTTGAGGGAGTGAGTTTGTCCGTTTCATCCCTCCCATAATGTGAGGACACAGGGAGGGTGCCATGTGTGAGAAACAGGCCTTCACTATAGAGCAAATCTGCTGCTGCCTTGATCTTGGACTTCCCAGCCTCCAGAACTGTGAGCAATAAATACATTTCTGTTGTTTATACATTATCCAGTTTAAGGTATTTTGTTACAGCTCCTGAACTAGGACACCCCCCTACTGGCTCATCTTCTAGATGGATAAATAGGCTTCTTCACCTCCTAACATGAGAGAGAGAGGGGGGTGAAGGTGGAAGGGGGGAAGGAAGAAAGACTCCCTAGACCTCATCACCATCAGCCACAAAGCACTTTTACTTTATATTTCTATTTTAGAAAAAAATCTGATGGCAATCTCTTTATGAAAAAGGGCCTGGCGAGGTAGGCCTGTAATCCCAGCACTTTAGGAGGCCGAGGTGGGCGGATCATGAGGTCAAGAGATTGAGACCATCCTGGCCAACATGGTGAAACCCCGTCTCTACTAAAATACAAAAAATAGCCGGGCATGGTGGCACGTGCCTGTAATCCCAGCTACTCGGGAGGCTGAGGCAGGAGAATCGCTTGAACCCAGGAGGCGGAGGTTGCAGTCAGCCGAGATTGTGCTACTGCACTCCAGCCTGGTGACGGCCAGACTCCGTCTCAAAAAAAAAAAAAAAAAGAAAATTCGCAAACAGGAACTTAAACAGATTTTTCTACATGGTTGTTCATAACAGCCCAAAGATGACAACAACCCTGGCGTCTATCAACTGAGGAGTGGATAAACAAAATATGTGGTTTATCCATGCAATGGAATACTATTCAGCCTTAAAAAGGAGAGAATTTCTGGTACACGCTACATGGTAGATGAACTTTGAGGATGTATGTTAAATGAAGTAAGTCAGTCACAAAGAGGCATAGATTGTATGATTGCACTCAGGTGAAATATCTAGAATGGGGGGCAATAGGAGTTACTGGGTAATGCATAGAGTTTCTGTTTGGAGTGATGAAAAATTTTGGAAATGGATGGCATTGATGGTATTACAACAGTGTGAATGTTTTTAATTTTTTATTTAATTTTTATTTTTTAGATATGAAGTCTTGGCCTTCCAAAGTACTAGGTTTACAGGCGTGAGCCATCATACCTGGCCTGAAATTTCTACTTTTAAAAGTAGAGCTTCAATTCCAGCTCCATACTGCATGAAACTGTGGAATCAGGGTGCTTGAATACAGTCTGAACTTCAGCCAAACCAAGGGAGATTTGAAACCCAAGAGAAACTGCCAGTGAGTCCCGCCAGCCTTGATGAGGTCGGATGAGTGAAAGCTGTTCCTGCGGGTACCAAAGCTCAGAATGTTGGCAAAACAGCATGGACTGTGGGAGGCTTGCCTCGGATCCATCTGTGGGTCACCAAAATGTCAACCTAATATCATCAAAAGGGTTAGAATCTAATTTAAATAGTGTTTATTCAAGCACAAAATGTGAGGACGGACAACATGGAAATACTGACTCCAAAGGAATGGAGTCAGTGTTCCAAAGCACATAGAGACAGAGGAGTTTTTACAGGATTATAGCATTTGCCCCTTCCCTCCCCTCCCATCCCCTTCTTGACGGAATCTCACTCTGTTGCCCGGGCTGGCATGCAATGGCTCCATCTCGGCTCACCGCAACCTCTGCCTCCCAGATTCAAGCAATTCTCCTGTCTCAGCCCCCTCCACCCAAAATAGCTGGGATTACAGATGTGCACCACCATGCCAGGCAAATTTTTGTATTTTTAGTAGAGATGGGGTTTCACCATGTTGGCCAGGCTGGTCTTGAACTCCTGACCTCAGATGATCCTCCTGCCTTGGCCTCCCAAAGTCAAAGTGCTGGGATTATAGGTGTGAGCCACTGTGCCCAGCCTTCTTCTATTTTTTGTTTTTTTTTTGAGAAGGTTCTTGCTCTGTCTCCCAGGCTGGAGTGCAGTGGTATCATCACAGCTAACTGGAGCCTCAACTTTGCTAGCTCAGGTGATTCTCCCACCTCAGCCTCCTGAGTAGTCGAGACTACAGGCATACATGCCACCACACCGGCTAATTTTTTGTATTTTTTGCAGAGATGGGGTTTTTTTCATGTTGCCCAGGCTGGTCTTAAACTCCTGGAGTCAAGCCATTCCCTTGCCTCAGCCTCCCAAAGTGCTGGGATTACAGGTATGAGCCACTGTGCCGAGCCTTAAAAAAGTTAATGTAAATATATTTGACAATTTAAAATTCTGTGTGTCGAAAGAAAGCAAAAACGTAAGCATCCCACCAGAATAATACTTGTAATACACTAAAGGGTTAACAATTGTACTATATCAAAAGGCCTTACAAATTAATGAGATAAAGCTGAGTGGGGTGGCTCACGCTATAATCCCAGAACTTTGGGAGGCTGAGGACAGTGAATCGCTTGAGCCCACAGGTTTGAGGCCAGCCTGGGCAATTTGGTGAAACATCATATCTACAAAAAAACAAAACAAAAATGCTTAATGAGATAAATATTAAACTGTAATAGAAAATCATTGATAGGAGAGAGAAAAAATTTCCAGAAGAAATGTACATGTCTAATAAATAGATGGAAACATGTTTTGTCTTACCAGTAATCAAAGGACTCCAAATACAAGCAACTCTGAATGTTACATCTCATCTATTAAATTCACAAATACTTTTAAAATATAAAATTCAGAGTGCTCGCTTCGGCAGCACATATACTAAAATTGGAATGATACAGAGAAGATTAGCATGGCCCCTGCACAAGGATGACACGCAAATTTGTGAAGCATTCCACATTTTAAAAATCTTCTATAAAAAATATATGTATGTATGTATATAAAATTCAGAGACAGCCATGGTGCAGTGAAACAAGAACGCAGATACCACAGATAGAAATAGGAACTGGCACAACTTACTAGAATGTCACTTGATGATAGGTATCAAGAGCCCTAAAAAAAGTGTTTTTTGAGATTGGGTATCACTCTATTGCCCAGGCAGGAGTGCAGGGGTGTGATCTTGGCTCATGCAGCCTCTGCCTCCAAGGTTCAAGCAATTCTCATGCCTCCACCTCCTGAGTAGCTGAGACTTACAGGTATGTGCCACCACACCCGGCTAATTTTTGTATTTTTAGTAGAGATGGGGTTTCACCATATTGGCCAGGTTTGTCTTGAACTCCTGGCCTCAAGTGATCTGCCAGCCTCAGCCTCCCAAAGTGCTGGGATTTCAGGTATGAGCCACCATGCCTGGCCTAAAAAAGTATTTTAGCAGTTCACATACATTGAGCCAACAATTTCACATATGGGAATACATCCAAAGGAAATAGAAATTTACAAAAATGTTTGTGTGCAAAGAAATGTACTTTTTTTTTTGTTTAAGACAGAGGCTCCCTCTGTTGTCCAGGTTGGAGTGCAATGGCTCAATCTCGGCTCACTGCAACCTCCACCTCCTGGGTTCACGTGATTCTTCTGGCTCAGCCTCCCAAGTAGCTGGGACTACAGGCCGCCACACCCAGCTAACTTTTGTATTTTTTAGTAGAGACGGGGTTTCACCATGTTGGTCAGGATGGTCTCGATCTTTTGACTTTGTGATCTGCCAATCTCAGCCTCCTAAAGTGCTGGGATTACAGGTGTGAGCCACCATACCTAATCCAACAACAGTAATTTTTATAATCAGAAGGATAAAAGAACAATGATATTGAAAAGGGAGGGAAAGAGAGAGAGATAAGGGGAGCCATGCAGAGAGCAGGAAGAGCTCTCAAATAGGGGCATCCAACTGGGGAGGGGTCAGAAACTGAGAGGGAAGGTAAGGGCACAAAAATGGAAGAGGGGTGTCTTCCTGAGGCCCCTTACATAACATCACCTGGGCCTTTGGGGGCTGCAGTTTGCAGTGGCTCAGGAGGGCATGCCTCAGCCCCAAGGCCCCACCCCTATTTTCCCAGCTCTCTGCTCTCTTGCATTCTCCCTCCTCATTTCCAAGGAAGGTGGCTGCCCCTGCCAGACGCAGACGCATTGCACCAACCTCATTGTCAAGCCTCAACTAACTTGAAAGCAAAGGATAGGAGGGTGGGTAGGAACAGAGTCCCCTAGGAATGTTAGAGGCAGGGAGATGGGAAATTCTGCAGCCCAGCTGAAGGTAGGAACCTGTTGGGTTGGAGGAGATAAAGCATAAGACCGAAGTACAAATAAAGATCAGATGGGTCAGCCTGTGCTGCCTGCTCAGAGTCACTACAGTGGTCCTAGAGAAAGCGCCAGAGACAATTTTAAAAAAAGACAGCAGGAATTGATCACCCAAGGACAGAGGCTGAGTGAAGGAAGAGCGGCGAGCTCCATGCCGGTCTGAGCCCTTGAAACAAATCCTACGTAGGGGATTGCTACGGAGCTGGGGGTCTCAGAGAGTCCAGAGCTTGTCCTTGCAGTGACCCCCGCGAGCGCCCGCGTTTCAGCACTGCGGACAGGAACCGACCTTGGATCCAGGTGGGTCCTCAGAGCCATTGGCGGCTCTGCGGCTCCACTTCTCCCCGCACCCCTCCCTGGCCAATCCCAGCCCACGATGTTCCCGTGGAGGCCTCCGCAGCTCCTCCATCCTGGACCCCCTGGTGCTGGTGCCGCGGCTCCCGAGCACTTGGCGAGTGATACGGCCCGGGGAGCCAACCTGGAGCGCCCTCGGGTCCCGGCAACTAAGCAGGGGTCTGAGATCTGGGGTAGGGGCAAGAGCAGATCTAGTCTCCCCCTCGGCCCCCACCACGTTTGGCTCAGCTTGGACAGAGTCTTGCCCTCCAGCGATGGCGCAAAGAGGAAAATGCCGAGGTGAGAGCAGGAAGGCGGCCAGAGGCACCTTAAGGAGAAGCTGGAGCCAGCGCAGGTGCGGGGCATTGTCCCTGTGCGCCCAATCACACGGACCTTCCGGAGACATCCCCCTTCTCAAGCACAGCTCCGACCAGCCTCTCTCCGCCCCTCCCCATGCCCGACTCTGCCAGCTTCCATCAACCCAGGGCGCTGGGAGCCAGAACACGGGCCAGGGCAGCCCAGATCCCCGAGTCAGCCCTCCCATGGCCCACCGGCTCCAGAAAGTTCGGTGCAGTCCCCCGTCCCAGGCGACCCCTAAATCGCTGGCAGAAGTCAAGTCTCTGGCCTGAACTGTGCCTGGCTGAGCCTAGGCCCTCTGCCTCCTGCCGCTCCATGGAGCTTCTGCAGTGCTTCCTCTAGCGCTTGGCCTCCACCAGCCTTAGGCGACTGGGCCTCCTGGAGAAGTCGGCTTTCTTTCCCTCCTCTGTGTCCCCACTCTTCTGCCCCAGGCCATCTCCCACCCACGAGCCCTGTAAATGCTCTGCTGTTGTCCATGGATAGAGTGGGCCAAACGCAGGCCTTGGAAATTTACTTCATTTCACCTTGGCTTGGGAGTGCAGAGGATGTGACTGAGCTAGATTTCCTTCTTTTTCTTTTTCTTTTTTTTGAGACATGGTCTGGCTCTGTCACTCAGGCTGGAGTGCACTGGAGGGATCATGGCTCACTGCAACCTCCGCCTCCTGGGCTCAAGGGATCTTATCACCTCAGCTTCCTGAATAGCTGGACCACAGGCCTGCACCATTGTACACAGCTAATTTTTGTATTTTTAGTAGATACGGGGTTTCACCTTGTTGGCCAGGCTTGGTTCAAGTGATCCTCCTGCCTCTGCCTACCAAAGTGGTGGAATTGCAGGCATGAGCCACTGCGCCCTGCACTTTCTTGTTTATATTTTGTTTAGCTGTAACAACTAGACTGCATTTCTCAGAAGATGCCCCAAGAGAGGGAAAGGTTGATGAAAACATGGTATGTGAAAGAGAGAGAGAGAGAGAGAGAGGTGGTTGGAAGGAGGTCTTGCGCTACTATAAACACTCCCAGATCAAGAGGGAATGAAAAAGGCCGGGTGCGGTGGCTCATACCTGTAATCCCAGCACTTAGGGAGGTCGAGGTGGGCAGATCACCTGAGGTCGGAAAGTTCAAGACCAGCCTGGCCAACATGGTGAAACCCCATCTCTATAGAAAATACAAAAATTACCCAGTCATGATGGCGGGCACCTGTAATCCCAGCTACTTGGGAGGCTGAGGCAGGAGAATTGCTTGACCCTGGGAGGCAGAGGTTGTAATGATCTGAGATTGCACCATTGCATTCCAGTCCAGGTGACAGAATGAGACTCCATCTCAAAAAGAAAAAAAAAAAAAGAGGGAATGAAAAGAGTTAATATTGGGATTACTATATCAATGTTAACTATTTTTAGTCACCTTAACTCCTTTTAATCCTCAAAACGACCCTAGGAGTTACACACTATTATTACTATCCCACTTTACAGATGAGGAATTGAGGCACAGATTGGTGAAGGCATGCAGTAAATGCCAGAACCTAGATTTGAACTCAGGAAGTCTCTCTCCAGAGTTCATGCCCTTAACCATGACACTACTTTCCCTTATTTGTAATCTAAAGATTCCCATTTACTGAGGTTCTCTCATGGGCCAAGGGCTTTTGATATGATTTGGCTTTCTGTCCCCACCCAAAATGTATCTTGCAGCTCTCCTAATTCCCACATGTTGTGGGAGGGACCCAGTGGGAGATGATTGAATCATGGGTTGGGGCTTTCCTGTGCTGTCCTCATGATAGTGAATGGGTCTCATGAGATCTGATGGTTTTTAAATGGGACTTTTTTTCTTTCTTCTTTCTTTGTTTCTTTCTCTCCTTTTCTTTCCCTCCCTCCCTCCCTCCGTCCCTCCCTTCCTTCCTTCCTTCCCTCCTTCCCTCCCTGCTTCCTTCCTTCCTCCCTCCCTCTCTCTTTCTTTCTTCCCAGCACTTTCTTCCTTTTTTTGCCTGCTGCCATCCACATAAGATATGACTTGCTCCTCCTTGCCTTCCACCATGATTGTGAGGCCTCCCCAAGCCATGTGGAACTTTAAGTCCAATAAACCTCTTTCTTTTGTAAATTGCCAAGTCTCAGGTATGTCTTTATCAGTTTTATACACATTATTTCATTAAACTCTCACAATGTGATAAAGGCTGTCATCATTTGGGATTGCAGATTAAGAAATATAACTTGGCCTGGGGCCACATGCTAGATACCAGGTCATGACCCCTGCTGACTCCCATTGTAGGGGGGTAGGAGCTGTGACTTTCCCATGAATCCTTGCCCTTCCTGGAAACTACTGTAAAGTTCTTATTCCTACTGAAAGTTCTCATTCAGCCCCATCCCAGAACCCCTGGTGTCTAGCTGTCCATCCCTGGGGATCTCAGTGGTGTTCTCTCTACCCCCAGAAACCTCCTGCTCTCCATCCCTGGAGCCAGCCGGCCTCTGTGGCAGATTCTAGCTATCTGTGTTGTTTCTCTGGTGATCTTGGTGGGAGCTGCCCTTCTGGACCTGAGGAAGATCCTGGGCCAAGGGAAGGCCATAGAATGTTCTCTTGGGGCTCTGTCCTGCAGGTACGTCCTCCTGGCCTTGCTAATCCTCTTTCTCCACGTGGAGTGGGCCTTCTGCTGCTGGGCTCATGGAGTGATGTATCACTTGTCCTGGCTTTTTTAAATCAAGACAGAGTCTCACTCTGTCACCCAGACTGGAGTGCAGTGGTGCTATCTTGGCTCAGTGTAACTTCCCCCTCCTGGGTTCAAGGGATGCTCATGCCTCAGCCTCCTGAGTAGCTGGGATTACAGGTGTGTACCACGACACCCGGCTATTTTTTTTTTTTTTTTTTTTTTAGTAGAAACGATGTTTCACTATGTTGGCCAGACTGGTCTGAAACTCCTGACCTCGGATGATCCGCCTGCATTGGCCTCCCAAAGTGTGGGGATTACAGGCGTGAGCCACAGCACCCAGCCCAGTCCTGGCTCTTCGGACCTGCTGCTACCCAGCAGGATGGAGGGCCTCTGTTAGGCAGAGATGAACGGTGGTACATGTCCACTGTGCCTGGTGTTGGGAGAAACCAGGCTCATTCTGTAAGCCCTACATGGAGAAGGCAACACTAAGCCTGGAGATGCCCTTGGAGACAGGCTCAGGGCCCAGCTCGCTGCTCTCAGGAGCCACCTCTGGGCTGCTTCAGGAATCATCTGGCATCAGCCTCCCAAATCGTTGGGAGTACAGGTGTGAGCCACCACATCCAGCTTGTTTTGTTTGTTTTGAGTCAGGCTCTCACTTTTTCACCCAGGCTGGAGTGCAGTGGCTCCAACATGGCTCACTGCAGCCTCAAACTCCTGGACTCAAGAGATCCTTCTGTCTCAGCCTCCTAATATTTTTGTTTCAAACAGTTGTCTTTTAAAGAAATTAAGAAAAGTTTACAAACTACCAGGTGGTCAGGATATTTGAAAGAAGAAAAAATAGTCTTTTCTATTTAGCCATGTATTTGCCCTGCCTGGGTTCTCCATTCCTTCATGAACATGTTTCCATCTTACACCATTTCTTTTCATCCAGAAGTACTTCCTTTAGCCTATCTAATCATGCAGTTCTGCTAGAGACAAGTTTTTTAAAGGCTAGTCAAGGGAAGCAGGGAATGGAGAGGGAACAAAGAAATCTGCAGCTGCTTGTGATGGAGACAAATGCTCTTGCTCTTTTATTGTCTAAAATAATCAATTTTACCTTCATTTAAAGGATATTTTAGCTGGATATAGAAGTCCACATTAACAGGATTTTTATTCTCTTGGCACTTTAAAGTAAGTGGATATTCTATTATCTTCTAGTCTCTGTTATTTCTGACAAAGTCAGACTTTAGTCTACATTCAAATTTCTCTAGTTATCTATGAAATGTCCTTTTAGAATTGATTAGTTCAAATCAGCATCCTAAAAGGATCCTCATAGTGTATTTGGTAATTATATCATTTCATTTCTTTCTTTTGTTGTTTTGAGACAGAGTCTCGCTCTGTCGCCAGGTGCCAGGCTGGAGTGCAGTGACGCGACTTGCCTCACTGCAACCTCCGCCTCTCAGGTTCAAGCAATGCTCCTGCCTCAGCCTCCCAAGTTGCTGGGGTTACAGGCATGTGCCACCACGCCCAGCTAGTTTTCATATTTTTTAGTAGAGATAGGGTTTCACCATGTTGGCCAGGATGGTCTCGATCTCTCGACCTCGTGATCCACCCGCCTCGGCCTCCCAAAGTGCTGGGATTACAGGCATGAGCCACCGCACCCAGCTGCCTCATTTCAGTCTCCTTTAATCCGAACAGCTCTTGTTCCCCAACACCGTGTGTGTGTGTGTGTGTGTGTGTGTGTGTGTGACTGAAGACTTTTGAAGGACTGGATCAGTTATCTTACCTATGGAATATCCCTCATCCTGAATTTGATCTGATTTACAGAATGTCTTCTTTCAAATTTAATTTCTTTAATTTCCTAAGCCCTTTGAACTTCCTGTAAACGAGATGTCAGATCAGCAACCCTGATTAGATTCTGTTTCTCATTTTTTGTATTTTGCTTGTCTGACAGATATCTCAAACAATAGCTTATAGGGCTGACAAAGGATTAGGTGATCATGAAGCATTTCTCAGCACCTGGCTTTTTTTCTCTTGAGATAGGGTTGTACTATATCGCCCAGGTTGTCCTCAAACTCTCAAACTCCTGGGCTCAAGTGGTCCTCCCGCCTCAGCCTCCTGAATAGCTGGGACCACAGGCATGCGCCACCGTGCCTGGCATTGCTACTGTCATTCAGTTATGCCAGTGATGAGAGACTGGAAATCTGCTGGTTGAATTCAGACTACAGATGTTTCTGATATTGTTTCTAATTAATTTTCAACACCGAAAAAGCTGGAGGGTTTGTAAATTTATTTTTATTTTTTATTTTTGAGACGGAATCTCACTTTGTCACCCAGGCTGGAGTGCAATGGCACGATCTCGACTCACTGCAACCTCCACCTCCTGTGTTTAAGCAATTCTCCTGCCTCAGCCTCCCAAGTAGCTGAGATTACAGCCACAGACCACCACGCCTAGCTAGTTTTTGTATGTTTAGTAGAGATGAGGTTACACCATGTTGGCCAGGCTGGTTTTGAACTCCTGACCTCAGGTGATCCCCCAGCCTCAGTCATCCAAAGTGCTGGATTTACAGGTGTGAGCCACTGCACCCGGCTGCTCTTCTTCAGGAATAGTGTTTGGCGTTGAGCATGCTGTCTCTGGCATTCCTATTCTCCTGCTGTATTTTTTTTAATTTTTTTTTGAGATGGAGTTTCACTCTTGTTTCCCAGGCTGGAGTGCAATGGCGCAATCTCGGCTCACGGCAACCTCCGCCTCCTGGGTTCAGGCAATTCTCCTGCCTCAGCCTCCTGAGTAGCTGGGATTACAGGCATGCTCCACCATGCCCAGCTAATTTTTGTATTTTTAGTAGAGACGGGGTTTCACCATGTTGGCCAGGATGGTCTCGATCTCTTGACCTCGTGATCCACCTGCCTCGGCCTCCCAAAGTGCTGGGATTACAGGCTTGAACCACCGCGCACGGCCTCTCCTGCTGTATTTTTTTTTTTTTTTTTTTTTTTTTGAGACAGAGTTTTGCTCTTGTTACCCAGGCTGGAGTGCAATGGCGCGATCGCGGCTCACCGCAACCTCTGCCTCCTTGGTTCAGGCAATTCTCCTGCCTCACCCTCCCGAGTAGCTGGGATTACAGGCACGCTCCTGCTGTATTTTAAGTTCTTTTTCCCCAGAGAGAAAGACAGAGGCCAGATTTTTTTCATGTTGAATCCTGGGAAATGAGTATATGCACTGCACAGAGTGGGGACTCAGGGACAGTGGCGGCTGACACTCCCCTTGCTGATAGAGCCCATTACCCCAGACTGCGCTCTGCACCCTGAGATGGAGACACCCTGGCAGATGCCTAAGGTTTATGTCCTGGTCACTCAAACAAACAAACTTGGCCCCTTCCCTTGTAGCCCCCAAGCTGGGAAAGCTCTGATAGGCCCCACCCTTCACCTCTCACTGCTCTCCCTTTATGCCCCAGGGCCTTGTGTTGTCTTTATGCTGTGGTTGGTCACAAAATTCCCTGTTACTGCCTCTTTGGTGACGCTGATGGGACGGTGAGAGTTCAGCAGAGTCTCAAGGATAGAATCCAGGTTGGGCGTAGTGGCTCACGCCTGTAATCTCAACAATTTGGGAGGCAGAGGCAGGTGGATTGCTTGAGCCCAGGAGTTCAAGGCCAGTCTGGGCAACACAGAGAAATCCCATCTCTTCAAAGAAAAATACAAAAACTAGCCAGGTGTGGCAGCACACACCTGTGGTCCTAGCTACTTGGGAGGCTGAGATGGGAAGATCGCTTGAGCCTAGGAGGTGGAGGTTGCCATGAGCTGAGATTGCATCACTGCACTCCAGCCTGGGCAACAGAGTGAGGCCCTGTCTCAAAAAAAAAAAAAAAAAAAAAGTCCAGAATCCATTAGACTTCATGAATATTGGGGTCAGTCTGTGACCTTTGTCTCCCAGCCTGCCGCCTGCATTCCAGCAGCCTGACTCTGAAGGGCCTGGCCTTGGGCTTCACATCTGAAAAGCTCCCCCAGTACTCCAGGCCAGATCCAGATGACTGAGCAAGACTTTCTGAGTTGACTTCATACTCAGACAGCCCAGGAGAACAGTCCTTCTTGGGTCTGAGAGTGGAGTCTGAACCCAGGCTCAGGGGTGGATTGTGTCCTCCCCAGACTCTTAGCTCACACCAGTTAGGTGCCCCTGAGCAGTCTGAGGTGCAGCTGAGGAGTATGTGAGCTCAAGGGGAACTCTAAGGTGTCCATGATCCTGCCACTTGCCAGGGAGCTCAGATGCAACCCCACCTAACTGCAGAGACAAAGCTGCACAGGAAGGCTACCCTACACACACCATCGCTCTGCCCCAGAGCTCTTTCCTTCAGATGAGGCCTGGCTGCCTGACAGCTTCTACTATCTCCAGCTTAGAAGATACACACCAGCTCGGCCACATACCAAGCCCTCATGAAAGATGATGCCTGGAAGATGGAGCTCTAAGGGGAAATGTTGAGGCAAGCATGTGTTGTAGGCAAAACACAAAACCTACGTTCGCTGTGGGGACCTCATCCTGATAGAGGGAGAATGGCTTCCTGAGAGCCTGTGGGAAGTAGAAAAGTTCCTCTTTGATGTTTCCTTTCTTGTTAAAGAATAAATCATAAGTGTGCTAATAACTCTTTGTTAAGCCCTATCCTATGTAGCTGTTAGACGTGCCATGCTAACAGGCACATAGTATATTCTCTATCCTTGTACTTTAACCAAGATAAACATGCTGAACATGCTCACAGGCATGTCCCCGCTCTCCATTGCTTTTACCCGTTTAGAAAAGTTTTAAGTTGTCAGCCAATCAGGTTTTAGTTTGGATTGTAAAGTCTGGCTCCAACCAATGGAGATCAGACACAGCAGTAAGGACAAATGCATAAGAAATAAAAATGTCTTGGCCGGGCGTGGTGGCTCATGCCTGTAATCCCAGCACTTTGGGAGGCTGAGGCAGGTGGATCATGAGGTCAAGAGATCGAGACCACCCTGGTCAACATGGTGAAACCCCGTCTCTACTAAAAATACAAAAAAATTAGCTGGGCATGGTGACGCGTGCTTGTAATCACAGCTACTCAGGAAGCTGAGGCAGGAGAATTGCCTGAACCCAGGAGGCGGAGGTTGCGGTGAGCCGAGATCGTGCCATTGCACTCCAGCCTGGGTAACAAGAGCGAAACTCCATCTCAAAAAAAAAAAAAAGAAATAAATATGTCTGTTTTCTTTGTTCCCTGTACTCTTGTGGCAAGATGTCTAGTGAAGGTACCCTGCTTGCAGTCCAGGAAGTAAAAATCGAGTTGCTAAAAAATCCTTTGTCTCACTGCTAATTTTTCTTTGAGGCACCGAGCATCTGTTTCCAACAGAGTCTTCGATCCCATCTCCTCCCAGTGGAAAGAGACTGCCTCCTTCCCAGTAGTTCCAAATTGGTCCAGAGATGGACCACAAAAGATCCATCTCTGTTGCCTTGCCTGAGTCACATGCCCAAAATATAGAGACAGGAGTCAGGGTGGAGTTCCTGGAAGAAAAGTGAAGTGCATTTATCGAAATGGGCGGCGGGCAAGAAAAATGTGATGGCATTGACCGGCAGGAAATGCAAAGCCTTTCTGCATATAAAATGAGGGGGTTGGACTTGCTGGGGCTCTAGATCCCTGTCCACTTCGATTCCATTCTGCGATTGCTTTCTTTGCATATTTTCAGGAATCCTGAATTCAGGTGCTAAGGTGTTCATGTGAGCTTGCCCATCATCCTTTCATGCTAGGTGAGCGTCATTGTAAGTGGTGCATGCGTGATTCAATTCCAGTGCATCTCTGACTTTTGTGTGCATACGAGTCACCCGAGCATCTTGTCAATTTGCAGATTCTGATTCAGTGGTTCTGGGGTTAGGGTCAGATTTTTTTTTTTTTTTTTTTTAGACAGAGTTTTGCTTTTT